TTATTTTTGAGTTATATTCTATATCGGTTTTAACTATAAGCATGTAGTGTCCGTGTTACAGTTTGTTATCTTCATCTAGGTATAACAATTAAATGCCGTCGTGTATGTCGCCTGAGGTAAATGATTATGGGATTGTTGGATACTGAACCTTAAAGTTTTTGTGTGGGTGTGACTATAAGTCAGAATTACTCTTATCCCTATTCTTTGTGAAAAGGAAATAGGTTTCTACTTATCCATTATCTTGTGTGGATGTTTCTTTCAACCCCAACCACCAGTTAAAAGCTCAAATAGAAGTGTTTGTTTCGAATTTCGCACAAAGCTTCACGAGGGCTATCTGCACTAGTCGTCCCTATTTTTTACCAACGAATAATAGTATTGACAACAAATTATAATGCACCCACAGCTGAAAGGGAGCAAGCATGTTTAGTGGGATGGGGACTTTAACTCGCAACCCACAGATTGTGAGTCAAGTGCCCTAATCATCTGGTAATGCCAGGCCATAGAATAGTGTAACCAGCCAGCGTGTGAGGAAAGACAAACAAACAACCTTACTTGTGAATAAAGTTTGTTTTGTGTTAATTATGCACTTGAGATTTATTTCTATTTTACTCTCTGGATAGGTTTATTCTTCCCATAAAATTTCACGAATCCGAATTATTCTGATTAGCTTAATTTTCATTGAACATAATTATTTCAGTGGCGTAGCAGGGGGGGGGGGGCAGTCGTCCCCGGACGCAGGTGTGAAGGGGCGCACGCAAAATTTCCTCTGGCCTATAATGCCTATTAATTAATAATTATGCCCTCCTCTAGGATATAGCGCAACTGCCCTACGTTAAGTAAATACGACACAGTTTTACGTTATTTGTATGTATTACGATTGCAGTTTTAACTTTTAAAAGCCACCCACTGAAATACAGTGAGACCAAACTGACATACAGCAGTAAATTACACTATTGCATCATTGCATCATTCATCTGTAGATTAAATTCAAGTTCTAGAGTACAACGTACAAGTAAGTGTATGTTCAACAAAAAGAAAATACAAGATTAATGTAGCATATTAACTGGTGTGCAAGATTGGCAATATATGCAACAGGCAAGGTCTAGATCTAGATATAGTAAACATTATAGGCCTAATGTAGTGTTTTGCAATTGTATTGGCTAATTGTAAATCATGTCTTACACCAACTAATGTACTAGACTTTAGGTCTAATTGTAGTTATAACTTTATTTCTAGACCCTACATCATACAAATTGTAGCCTATATTATAGGCATACTTAGACCTATACTAACTATTAAACTAGGCATTGCACTGGGACAGATCTAATGACTAAGTTAATAGATCTAAATGTAACATTTGTTCTAAAAGTTAGGCCTAATAAATCCAAATCTGGAATTGATGAGGCAGGGTCATATCTAGATCTGGGTAGATTCAACACAAGGTGCTTTCAATCTATGCACCCAAATCTAAGGTCTAGTTTAGATGTATAATGCTAAATTTCTGTCATTATTATTATATATACAGATCCAAACCTAAGACTAAAAAGACAGAAATAACAGGTCTAACATTAATGTTAGATCTAGATG